GGACCTTTCAGGTTGGTCTATCAGACTAAACTTATTTTGAAATCCTTAGATTATTTTGATCTTGTAAAAGTGAATTCTCTTCTATCCTACTAAATTATTTTCTTCTCCTTTTCTTAACATATGCTTTCACATTGGTCTAATTCGCATGTAGTGGCTTAAGCTTTCACATGGATTAAATTAGTGTATTATGGTAAGTGTTTGGAAGAGTTAATTTCCACATTCATCTAAAATTCCACTCAAGCATTTGTGAAACACTTCTAGTGCTTGCAATGCAAATATGAACTTCATCCCATAGTCTTCTAGAATTATCGTTAATGAAAGACACAAATATTTTTCTCCTCTTAGAGGATATTTTTGGTGACTCCAAGACATCAAAATGAATAAAATATAATATGTGGTTATTTTCAGCCATCAATATACTAAAGGTTAAGTATAATGCTTGCTTATCATATAGGGATCACATAAGGGTAAACTTATTGATTTCAAGCTAAGTACGAGACTATATTTTGGAATGACCTTCAACATAGGTAGACTAGTTATTCTATTCTTTGTATTCGCCCCATGTGACATCAAAACTAATTGCTAAAAGAAAATCCATTGATGTAATGTACTTAACTCTACATCCTCAACTCATAAGTATTAGAGCTATCTAGTCTTAGTGTGTTTTTTTAGTGTATTCATCCATAAAATGTTTAGCCTAAGGCATGGAGAAAGTTATGGTCTTGTAGACCGCGTTTGTACCCAAATACCTTGTTATGAAGAAACTTGCACTACTACAAAATATGCTTTTTATGTCGTCATTTAGCGTCGGTTATAACTGAGGCGACATAGAAAGTACTTTTCACGTCGGTTTCTAGATGAACCGACGTTGAAAGTTGAATGTTGAACATATTCTACATTGGTTTTTAGTCAACCGACATAGAAAGTAATTTCCACGTCGGTTCCCGGATGAACAGACGTGGAAAGTCTATTAGAAAATTGTCATTGGCGGGATTCCAACCACTAAACTATTATAATTTTCTGATAATAAATTACAAATAAATTATATTTATATACAAATAAATATAATATTTATTTGTATATGTTTTATGGAAAGTGTTTTTATTTTTTTCAGCAAAAAATTCACTTAAGTTAAAGAATTGTCAGCGACGGGATTTAAACCTAGTATTTTAGAGTTGAAAGCTAATATCTCAACCACTAAACTACTATAATTTTTTGATAATAACTTACAAATAAATTATATTTATATACAAATAAATATATATACTGTATAAATATAAAATATATAAATACAAATATATTTATATATTTTGATATATTTATATATATTTATATAGTTATATATTTATATGTTGGATGTGAGGGCGTGCTCGAGGGTGAAAGTGAGATTGACTCTCGCTTGAGTGAAAATCATGGAAATTCACTCGCTCAAGCCTCGCTTGAGCAAAAATTGGTATTTTTCGCTTGAGAGCGGATGACGCATTTTCCAAATTTATTTTATATCATTATATAAATAAATTATAAAGATTATATTCTGTCATTAAATTACAAACTCATATAAAGATACCCGCTTACAAATTTAGTATCAAATTTTGAAAACCCACTCAACACAAACTTTCACCTTCGAGCGTGCCCTCACATCCAACATATAAACATATAAATAGAGCCGACGTTGAAAGTCGTAACTTTCAACGTCGCCTGATACAACGTCGGTTGTGGAAACCGACGTTGAAGGCCTTCCAGAACCGACGTTGAAAGTCATAACTTTCAACGTCACCTGATACAACGTCGGTTGTGGAAACCAACGTTGAAGGTCTTCTAGAATCGACGTGGAAAGCCTTATCTGTAGTAGTGTTGACAAGGCTTGAAAAAAAAACTTGTATTAAGCTTAAAAATATTGGGAAAAGAATTTCAATCTTGAAGAAATTAGGTAAAGAATATTTGTGTCAAGTCTAAAGAGACCGAAAAAGAATATTGTGTCAAACCTAAGAAAATAATACTTGTATCAAGTCTAGATAGGTTAGGAAAAGAACACTTCTGGGTTATAAAACCCTAAAGAGACTTGTCAAAGATTACTAGTGTATTTCAAATCAAAGAGGGCTAAAAAAAATAATTGTCAGTATTGTAAAACATGAGTGATAATAGAAAATACTTGTGTTTGTAGCATTACTTAAATGTAGTCTCATGTTGAGAGAAATCTTAAAAAAAATATTTGTGTTCATTATCTTTGTTTTTTTTTTTTTTAACTAACCTTGAATTGTGATTAGAGTATTTTGTCTCTAAAAATTATTTTTGAAACCTATTTAATATCTCATATTAAAACTAGATTGAAAATCTACTCTTTTTATTTATTTATTAAAGTCACAAAGTTAGACTATTTGTCCATATCACATTTTTTTGAAATAAACTAAAATACAATTTAACTCCTATTATTGTAATTTTTACTTTAAAATATTAATATTAATAACAAAGATCACAAAAATTAGAAAAAATTGTGCTTAATTGTAATTCTACTCAAATTGTATTATCTTTTAGTATAATTTTCAATTGTGTTCATTGATTTGAGTGAATATTGCAACAAATTGGAAGTATGATAGTTCCTTATAAGTCATTCTTATGTCATTAGATTTAATTGATTAAAAATATGTTATTGGTATTTGTAGGAACCCAATTATAAAATAAGAACTTGGAGAACTAAAATTGCTCATTTGTAATACTTACAAAACTCTTTCGAAATCTCATGAACTAAAATTGCAAAAATTGACCTAGGTAGTTCAACTTACCAATTTATCTTGACCTATCTAATATAGCTCACTAACCTAGTGTTATTAGCAATTGGATGGGTTGGCGTGTCAACCAATCTTTTATTTATAAAAAATATGAAAATTTATTTTGATTTAAGACTTTAGGTTTGCACTATTTAATTTGTGAAAATTTTGAGTATTAAAAAAAATCAAAACAAACGTTTGTTATTGTTGTGGCCCATTTTATAAACTTAATTTTTCTAATACTAGTAAAAACATTTATGTTATCATCTATGAAAATGAAGTATTTTTTTTCTATAAAGTACTCTATAGATTTTTTTAAAACAATGTAAATAAAATCCAATATACAAAATATGTGTGATTTAAATATAAATAGACTTGAATATTTGAGTTTAATGCCATTTTTTGAATCATAAGAATAAAATAAATTTTCTTGACAAATCTATAAAGATGATTGACAAATTCTCTTGAAAAAAAAATTGGTAAACCAGTCTTATCAATGTCATAGTCGCTAAAAAAATTCGAAAAAAATATTAGACAATGTCAAAGAATACCTAAATATAATTATGAAAATTAACAATGAACTTTATCTAAAATTTGGAAATAAAAAGATATTGTTCACTCTTTCCGAGACAACCATGACAATTTCATGTTCTTTACAAATATAGATAACATAAACATTTATCTATGTTTTTATCATAACATAAATGTCTTAGTTTATTAATAAAGTCCATGGAACACAATGCAAACATATACTTCAACTTATTCTATATAAGGAAAAGGTTTTGCATTGTGAATTCACACAATTTACTCTTCTTGTTGTGACTGATGAAAGGTAGTATTCCCTTTTTCACAGGGAGCATGACCAATGCTAGTAACATTAAAAGCTATGGAATCAAACCTTCTAGATGCATTGGATGTTGCAGTCTACGGTATTGTATTTGGAAATAATATTTCTTTTTGTTGTAGTATCATTCCATTGCTTTTCTTCAAATAAAGTCTATATTTCTACCATAAACAATAACAATGGTATTAATTAATTATGATGCATGACAAAACCAACCATAATCATTATTTAGAATCATAAAAATTTGAGTATATATATATATATATATATATATATATATAAACTTGACATTGTATGATTTAATTTTTAAAATAATTTGTTTGGATAAGATAATTAAATTTATTGAATTTTAATTTTTTTATAGAATATGTCAATTATTATCAAATATAAAATTATTATTATATTTATGAATCAAGTCCAACTCATAATATTTGACCCTTATCTACATAAGTTAGGTTGGACCAAGATAGACCATTATAAACTAGATCAAGTAATGGGAGAGACCATATTGGTAAGGTCAAATTTGGTCAAAATAAATTATATTGGGTCAAGAAGGTTGGGTCAAGTTGGGATGAGTAAGATTATGTTGAGCTATGTTGGGATGAGTTAGATTGAGTCAAGATAAATAAGACTATGTCAAGTCTAGTTGGGTCAAGATGGGTGAGGTAGGATCGTGATCAAATAAGACAAATAAAGATGAGATAGGTTGGGTCAGACAAAGACAAGATGTGTCAAGTTAGAATGAGTCAAATTAAGATGAATAAAGTCAAACCAATAATTAAGTTGTGATAGGTTGGGTTAGAGTGGGTCAAACCTACTTTGGGTAGTAGGATCGAACTTGATCAGGAAGGGTGTAATAGTTAGGACAGGTGAGGTTGAGATGAATTGGATCGGATCTAGATAAGTTGGATTAGGTCAATACATGATGGACTAGATCGACTGCGATTAGGTTGTGATGGTTTGAATATGGACAAAATGTGTTGGATTGGTTTAAACCAAGTCAAGATCGATCAAATTGGTTGAATTGGTCTATCCATGTTAAAACAAGTTAAAATGAGTTAAAAATATTTCAATCGAAATTAAGTCAAAGATAAAATATGAAAAGAAGAGACATAAATTTGAGAAAAGAACAAGATGTAGAATTTTAAATTCTAACTTTCTAGATGAAATTTAAAATTCTATTGTTAAAACACCTTCATCAATTTCTAAAATTTGAATTTCTTTCCAAATTTTCTATCTAAATAATCAATTTTGCCATAAAACATTTTAAATACTATATTATAATAATTCTTCATCAAAACAGAAGGTAAATATTTTTCATATGTACAAATTGTGTTCAAATTTTAATTACTTAACTATGATAATTTATGTTGAATTATTCTAAGTTTTCAGTTCATATTAAGACCAACCTGCAAATGACTTGCAACATGTTCTCTTGTCAAACCAGGAATATTCATCACTTCAAGGATCATCAATGGTCGTGCCTCCGAAAAACAACAAAGGAAAAAAAGTAGTGTATAATTAAGTCTTATATAAGTAGAAAAATAAATTAAACTAAGAGGAATTAAGAAAATTATTAGTTGAGAATTAATTATACTTTCAATCCCAATTTGCATCACTGCATTGACAAATTGGCTATGCAGTTCTTGTGTCCACACCACACGTGGCTTTTTGGGCAGGGGTTCATAATTGTCATCCAATTTACCATCATTAGATTCTTCGACATTTGAATTGTTCTGTTTTTTGTTCGTCATTGGTGCCTCGATAACAGAAGAAGAAATTTCTTCTATTCCTGGTAGCTTAATTTCATTCCAAACTTTCTTAGCAACATGCTTCCAAATTATCTTGAATTGGTTCTCATGCAAAGGCTTAGTCCAATAATCACAGGCTCCATCTTCAATAGCCTTCATGACAACACTTTTAGCATTATCACAAGACATCACTGCAATTTGACATTTGCAATGATAAGTAAAAAAGTCTAAACTCACATAAAAACCATTTATAGGAAATAATTAATTGGTTACTTACTGATAACAGGAACACTAATTTCCATGCCCACATGCTTAAGGAATTCATAGCCATTCATATTTGGCATGTGAACTTCAATGAGTATCAAATCAATAAAATTCTTTTTCTCCCGAACATAATTCAGAGCTAGTGGAGAATCAGAGAATGTCGTAACTACAACATAAAATCAATAATCAACAAGGAATATCAAATCTTTCTATAAAAAATCATAAGAATAAGTCTTTTACAAATAACCAACCATGATAATTGCATTGAAAACACATTTGATTGATAAACTCAAGAATAGAGGGGTCATTATCAACTGCAAGGATCCTGAGACCTTCTGGAAAATTATTGGATACATTCGCCATAGTTGTAAATTTGGCCATTTCTCACCAACTAGTGACCTTAAAATCAAAGAGAAGTGAAAGAATTTTGAGTTAAAACTATGTATTTTGCATAGTTAGGATTGTTGGTTTAATATTCATTTTGATTTTATAATATACATTTATTGTAGATTAAATAAATATTTAAGTAGAGAGAGATAATGAAATGTAGATGATATTAATATGATAATATTTAATAAACAAAATATTAATAATCTGTAAATAATAATTATTAAAATTAATGATATGTAATTTATCTATATTTTATTGTAGTCAAATCAATGAATGTAATTTATATCATATTTATAATTATTTCTAAATCAATTAATGCATATATTTATTTTTGTAACGAATCATGATTAAATTATTTGTTATATAAAAGAAAGGGATGAGTATGTTTTTGTCCACTTTTTTAAACTTTCTCTTTAATCCTTATACTTTCAAATTCATAAATTCAATTGTATAACTATTCACACTACAAAAAAACTTCAAAATTATTAGAAGTTTATTTTTAGCGATTATAAAAATAGTAAAAATTGAAGGTAATTATGACAAATAATTTATCCGACACAATAATCCTAATTAATATTACTATATTTTATTTTTTTATTTATTTTCATTTTTCTAACTTTGTCTTTTCTGATTCTCTTACTTTCTTACTGCCCTCTCTTTCTTTCCTTGCTTGTCTCTTTCATTCTCACACTCATCCTTCATTACAACGCCACATATCCTTTCTCAATCACCCATTTAGGTTTAATTTTTCAATTTATTAGCTAGTATTTAGTTTAAGTTATTAAGTTCTTATGTTTTGCTTTTCAATTTCAGGTGTTTGTGATTTTTGTGGAAGATTACAAGAGTTTTATCTATCGCTTTTTGCTTCAATTCACAACATATGCTAATTTCTCCTTCTCTGTGATGCATGGCAAAAATCTACATTCAACCGTTCTTTGTTTTTCCTTAACATCGGGTATGAAACGTTTAATATCATTTCTTGTTTCATTGTGTTTTGTTGTTGTTCTGTTTGTGTTTCGAGCAACATTGCAAATTATTGAGTCACTGGTAATTGTTGTAGAACATATTTGTAGAGCATGTGACAGACAATGAACTATTTTGGAATGACTAAGTTTTGATTTTCAAGTGCCTTTTGGGTGTTCGAAGGAATGCATGAAAGAAATTGAAAAGTATTTTGGTTGCTGAAGGCATACTTTCTCTCTCATTCTATAATCAATTTGCATTTCAATTCTTGGACAAATCCATTACCAATATAGACTTATTTTACATCTTCAGTAAATAAGGGGTAGGGATAGAAGAAGCCATGAATGTTGTAGATATGGGTGTCTGAGACAACATTTGTCGCATTGTAATTGCATTTAAGCTCTATTTTTTTGTTTTTGTTTTTATCAATTTTTGTTTTTTAATCTTCCAACTTGGGATCCTAAGAGTGCATTATGTTTGAAGTTATTTGACTTAGAAATTTGGTGAGCCAAGTTTCCCTGTATGCTCTGAACTTGGTTTAATGGGTGTGCCAGCTTGAATTTTATCGTTTGAACTACCCTTTTGGTGTTGTTAGTTTAAGGTGTTGAAGGTTTTTGACTTTGGATTGTATGGGGAAATCGAGGTGACACTAGTTGGACACTGCACTAAGATGTTAACTCGTAGTAATGTTTTTAGGGCATGCATAAAGGTTCCAATCCTTTACTGCACATTTATTTGATAATATCCCTGTTCATTAATAATTCGTCTATTTGTTTTCACGTTTACATATTGCCATATGTCTTAAGAAATGTTTTTATTCAAGTGTGTACATTTTGTAATTAATTCATGTAATTAATTCATTTTCTTTGGCAACAAGTCCCTTTAATCTTTTGTATCATGTAATTAATTCATTTTCTTACCTAGCATAATCTTTGTTGTAGCTGCATGTGCTCATATAACTGATTATGCATATTGGAACATGTTTTAGTAATGTTGTTACAAATGTAAAACACAAATAAAAATTTCCTCCTAATAGTTCTCTAATCCATATGTGCTAGCCAATATAGTCTAGTAGTTTAGAAAAGAATTTTTGTACGCTAAGGTCCATTTCAAGACATAATCCTTTAAATTTTGCAGAATGAGCACTGCTCTTATAGTTTGATCCTTTTAAGGCAGGAAAAGAAATATTTCACGAGTCATAAATATTTTTAAAAACTAAATACAATGATCAAGTTTGGCATTCCCATGATTAGTAAATTAATGTAAGAAATAAGATAGGAAAATTTAGAATTGAAAATGCAATTTCTTGCAATAGGAAAATCAAAATTTGATAACAGTATAGGTTCTGGGATGAATAGCCTTTAGTTTACTACGCTTTTGCTTTTAGTGAGCTTGTTGTCCTCTCGTCCAGGTAAGTATTTTACACTTTTCTTCAACAACAAAAAGTGTTAGAGACTGAAGCTATGCATATGAATTTGGCATCAATAACAAAATATGTTGAAATCTAATTGCATATTGAGTAAAAGGAGAAAAATAAACTTTAATTTGATGTTGCATTTAATTAGCCTTATGTTTCTGTTATTGCTAATTTCAAATTTAACTGCATTATGTTATTACTGATTTTTAATTTACGTAATTTTCTTGTGTATTTCACTGTGAATTGTGTTTTAGACTCCTGCATATGCCTTTTTGTTACTGTATTTCTCATTCACATCATCCCGTAAATATCCAATTCTTTATATATCAGCAAAATTTCATAAATACTTTTTTTTAATCTAAATTGTTGATATGCATAGTATTTTTTGTTTGATAAAAACATAACATAATTATAGTTGAAGTGTGCTTACTTAATAGGAGGGATTTTTGAGTTATGTAAGGTTCTGCTTTGTGGATTTGAGAGTACGACATAGTTGGAAACTCCTGAATTTTAGGAGTATTAATGTCTCTTCTATACCTTAGTTTATGTACATCAAGGATATAGAAAATATTTTGCAACTTATGTTTTTCTTACTTCGTTGGACAAATATAAAAATGGATAAATCATGGATTGATATGCCACAGAATACAATTGAATATTTGGATGGAATGAATAGATTTTTAGATTTTGCATTTGAGAACCGAGTCTATGATAGCTCATTATCAAGAGAGCAATTAATTGCTAATGTTCCTAATGATATTCACAAAGATCAGTGGTCTTCATTTGTTGATTATCATCTAAGTTCAAAATATAAGATAGTTATAACAAATAATTGTTATCAATAATTATTTTTTAAACCTGGTTTTGAATTAATAAGTTGTTTGTTTCATAGGAATTATGTAAGAGAAATATTGAAGTCAGAAGAAAACAAAAGATTCCTCATATCGGTGGTGCAAAACTTTTATCTACAAAACAACATGAAATGGTAAATTATTTTTGTTTTATTGTTAAATTTAACAAAAAAAAAATTATAGTATTCTTCTAAACTTATATGATCATGTATATTATAGGAAATAAATCTTGAACGTGTTGTAGACCGAGGAGAATTGTACATTGCAACTCACAAGAAAAAGAATGGATCTTATGTTAACGAGGAGGCAAGATCTATAGTGGTAAGTTTAATAACAAGTAGTGTCTAAACATGTGAAATTATACTCTTTCTATACATATGCCTTCTGGTTTTTGAGTTGGAAAACATGTTCTCATATGAGTACTTACTCTTATTTATGATTAGAATTTTATGACATGAAAACTAAAAAATTTCATTTTACTATTAGAATTAACATAGTGTGGAACATAATTAAAGTATAAAGAATAAACCATTTGATACCATATCGTAGACTGATCACTAAGACCATCCCCAATTTGCCTTTATACTTGATGATAACTTTGACTCTATTATTACATTGATTTAGGTCTTTTCAATTTTTAAATATTTTTCTTCCTTTTATTTATCATTTGTAATATGAAAAAAAACTAAATTATTACCCTCTTTCAATGCATGTTATTTGGTTGTCATATTTTAGTTTCACTACTTAATTTATCTTTGTCAAACTTGTTTGGTATTGGCTGAGAAGTTTCATAATTATAATAACACCATACTTGTCAGAATCATCTTTATATTATTTCTATTATATACTATAGATAAGAACATGTACTAAAATATAATTTTGGTTTGTATGTGGGTGCTAATTTTACCTACTCAGACATTGGTACTCACCTACCACTCAAAAGAAACATTATAATTTAGTGTTTGAAGCTTTGCATCTAGGATTCCATTTTCCAACCACATATTTAAACAACGTATGGGGTAAACTTTGTCTTGTTTTAGTTTCTATATTTTGACCCAGAATCATATCATAAATCATAAACATATAGAATATTTGAGTTTAAGCTGTATTATTTAGTATGGCCAAATTGATGTTATTGTCAAAAACAACTTTGTTGAGACAAAGTGTAATTAAAGGGATGTGCTAAAATTCTGAATTGAGATATCTCCATCTTTTCACTTCATGAGATATGTTAAAATGCTTCAAGTTGTGACTTGTCAAATATCATGACTTTGCATCTACCTTATTTTACAACCTTCTTTGTACAATACTAATATGGATATCAAGCAATTGTATTTATTCTATTTACAGGAGAAAATAACACAAGAAATGAGTCAAAGTGTCAATTTTATAGAAATTTCAACTAATGATTGCGTTAGTAAAGTGCTAGGAAAGGATCATCTTGGGCATGTACGTTGCCTAGGACTAGGAGACATTCTTAGTGTTGCATTTCAATCTACCACAAGATTTAGTAGTGCAGGGTGCAATCTCTCAAATTCTGATGCGAGTGGAAGCTCTCAATTGAAAGAGGAAGTTATTCATTTAAGATAAAAATTAGCAACTTCTGAAGAAAATGTCAAAACATTAAAAAGTGTCATGCTTGCATACATCCAAATGAAAGAAGGACACATTCCTCCGAGTTGGGTGTCATGTTTGGTAGTACAAGTAATATAGTTGTAAAAGTATTTTATAGTTTGTTTTAA